GTGGCTCTCGCCTCAGCGCCGCGCACATTTGTTTGTACAATTTGGAGGAGCTTCACGGATTGAGGGCGGGTCGATTTCAAAATGTGGATGTCGCCTCAGCGCCGCGCACATTCGTTTATACAATTTGTAATAGTTTCACGGGTCGAGGGCGGTTCCCTTTCAACATGTGATTCCAATGATCAGCGTACCTGACATGGTGCTTGTTGGAAGGATTCAGGATTATGCGGGTGCAACAGTTATGTTGATTCGCGGTGCTGATGTCCCAGAAACGGCGTTCTGGCACGATTCCGGATCGCAAGAACGCAGCAGATGTATTGGCATGGCGCAGGATCTTCAAACGGCTGTCTTCCAACGAGGCAATTCCCGCAATGGAAATGAACCGTTGTAGGGGCCTATGAAGAGGGAGCTTGGAGGGAGGGTTATTTTCAACATCGTTGATGACTCTTGGGTTTACACAGGTCCTCCTTCTCCTACTCGTCCTTCTCCTCCTCCTCTTCTTCCTCCTCGTCCGACGACGACCCTGAGATCCTGGCGTCCCAATTTGTTCGAGCCATGCGTTTTCGTTTCTTTTCGGGCCCCACGGCCCTCACAGGTCGATCCGGAACGGAAATGACGCAGCAAGGTGGGGCCTAGGGCTCTGGGCGTGATCTTTTACGATGTTGCAATGTGTTCGCGACATCGGATCTCAGGGAAGGTTTTTCCATATCTTCGGCCTCTGGAGGCCCTGGGACGAACAACAAAAACGATCCCGGGGAAAGGGTCCAGACTTCCAGGGGTCGACGCTGTGAACAAAAACGCGACGTCGGGAATCTGGGTTTGGGGCTCGCTATTTACGGACTTGTAGTTCCGAGCGAGATGTTGGTCAGGCGGGGCGCTGGCGGAGGAGGTCGTCTTGATCTGTAGTGCGCGTGCGGTGTGAGTTGTTGTTGGCCCCCTTTGCGTCTTGCGATCCACTGCCCACCCCGGAAGTGCGTGGCGCAGGACCGCACTGTGAGTGGTTATGTTCGGGTGCTCACAGGGGTTTGCCTTCTGGCTGCGAGCCAGATTGCATCGACAAGTATCAGCTTCTCAGACCCCGTCGGGTCATGAAAACATAATACCCTGAGGTTGTTCGCTATGTTCTGCTTCCCGGGGCCCTCATAACGGGTCCTCGAGGCCGTCCAAAACTGGCTCCGGGTGAACAACTGGTTTCGAGGATTGGGTCCAGACCGCTGGGGGTCCGCGTCATGAACAGATGCGACGCCGGAGGTCTGGGTTCGGGCGTTGCTAGCGAAGTGCCCGTGGTGTCTCTCTGACATCGCCTCCGCGCAGGAGTGGCCCTTCGCCAGGGTGACCTTCCAAGAGGTCCGCGGCTCCAGAAGAATGGGGGCGGTCGGTTTTCGGTTGTCTTCGCCCTCCGGGGGCCCTCGACGGGCGGCGGGGCCGTCAAAGCATGGTCCGGAACGACATGCCAGCCCGGGGGAAGTTGTCCAGACCTCCAGGAACCCACGCGTCGAACAAGTTCGGGCGCTTGATGTCTTGCTCTGGTGCGGGCCCACAGGGAGTCCCACGATCGCTGCATGCGATGCGGCAGCAGAAGCCTGCACGCCTGTGTTTGGCATCCCCGAGCCCCTCTGGAAGGCGCGCACCAAGGATCACTCTTGCCTAGGGTCACTTCGGGCATTGCCAGCTGAGTTCGGGGAGCAAGCAGTAGTGACATGACCATGCACTTTTGGAGGTCCGCGTGGACTTCTTGGATCGGCGCTGGGGCCTCCTGGCGGCGCCTCCGTCGCCGCCCCTGGCGCGCTCCATACGCCAGCAAAGAGGTCCAGCGCTGATCCAAGAAGTCCGCCTGGACCTCCACACGTTTATCCGTAAGAGCTTCGCCCCCTGCTGCCGGCCCCCCTCTCTTAGAATGGGACTTGCCAGAGCTGTGTTGGGATGTCTGGACGCTGACGTGAAGCAATGTGGGGAGAGGGCCTTGTACGGCTTGCACCGCAAACCTGAAGAACTGCGTTCGAATTCTGACAGGAGGGATTATGGCTTCGGAGGCGCGAATATAGGGTCACTTGCGAGGGCATTGCATAATTTATGAGGGCGTATGTCCTCGAGGACGCCAACTATTGCGTACTCTGCTAGGTTGCATGGCTTCGGGGACGCGAATATGGTGTAGTGTGCGAAGGTTTATGGTCTCGAGGGCGCGAATTTTCATAATTTACAAACTTGTATAGCCTCGGGGACGCGAATACCGCATGATTTACAAAGGTTTCTGGCCTCGGGGACGCGAATTTGGGGTAATTTACAAGGGATCATGGCCTCGGGGACGCGAATCTCATATTTTGTTTACATGTCCCTCGCCCCCCTGGAATTTTGAGAACCCTCCCAGGGCGTGGTAACAAATCCCATTTGGGGCTCCCACCCCTCGCGCGGGCAGCTAAATGACAGTAAGGAAGCAGAAAGCAGGACTGTAACAGTGGAAACTGAAAGCTGCAACTGGAACAGGGAGCTGCAATCTTGACCCTCGCAGCCTGGTGGCCCCGCCAGGGGGCCGGCGGATATGTTTATGCCATTGCCTGTTCTTCTTATAAGTGCCCATGGTGGCTTCCCGATCCCCTTGAGGCCCCTGGGCCTCCCTTGGTCCCAGACGTCCCACGCAATGTTCTGGTTCAGTACGCCTCCCCCCCAGAAATCCCGACCCGTTCCCGGGGACCGGCTTGGTGTCTTGAGTTGGTTGGTCTCAGCTCCGAGGCCCGGTGAGGGCCCCCAGAGGTCGACAGCGGCCAAAAGCTTTCCGTTTCTATCTTTTCCCCACAACGCGAGCCCAGACATGCGACGTCCAGATTTTTTTCAATGCGGGGTCCCTGGAAATCCCGGCCCATTACCTGGGACCGGTTTCTCATCCTGCGTCGTTTTTTGACGGTCCGAAGGCCCGGCGAGGGCCCCCCGAGGCCGAAAGCGGCCAAACACATCCCGCCCTGACTTTGCTACGACGCGATCGTGTCTGGGAGCATGTCTGGATCGGTGCTCTGGAGGCTCCCTGGGCCGCCCGGGGGAGGTAAAATTCTAACTTTACCCTGGTCCGAAATCCAGCTTACTCGGGCTGAGTCCCGTTTCATCTGGCCTTTTGCCGCTTCATCCGCCTTGGTTTAAGTCGGGCATGTCCCTCTACAGGGGGAGTATTCGAAAATAGCCCAAAAATAATATGGGGACGATTTTTGGGGGTACTTTTTAGGGGGGGGCTATTTTTGAGTAGGTTTGGGGTATTTCCAATTTTTCGCCCCAAATCCGCCTGTAGGGGGACATGCCCAACCTAAGCCTTGGCTCCGCTTCCTCCGCGGCCTCGTCCGGCGCAGCAGCCCCCCATTAGGGGCTGAACTCTCCTTGATCGTCCTCCCGACGAAGGCCTCCCAGCAGTCTCTTGCTATGTCCCTGGCCACGGGGCGGTCGCCCGTCGTGTGGCCTGTGCCTCCTCCTCGTCCTCCTCCTCCTCCTCCTCCTCCTCCTCCTCCTCCTCCTCCTCCTCCTCCTCCTCCTCCCCCTCCCCCTCCTCCTCCCCCTCCTCCTCCGCCTCCGCCTCCTCCTCCTCCTCCTCCTCCGCCTCCGCCTCCGCCTCCTCCCTCCCTCCTCCTCCTCCTCCTCCGTATGTCTGGGCCGGTGCTCTGGACCCAGACCCCGGGGCTGTGCCTCCTAGCCCATGGGGCCACGGGGCGGTCGCCCGTCGTGTGGCCTGTGCCTCCTAGCCCATGAGGCTGCTGGAGGTCTTCTTTCGGTCAGTGAGGTCTCCCTCACTGCCAGCAGCGCTGTCCCAGCCGCCGCTGCTGTGTTCACCAGGGCTGTGCGGGCGTGGAGCTCAAACAAAAAGCCTCCCAGCAGTCGCCTCCCGAATGTCTGGGCCGGAGCTCTGGACCCAGACCCCCGACATCGCGATCTTGTTCACAGCGTCGACCCCCCGAGGCCTGGACCCCTCTGCCGCCCTCCGCGGGAGCGGCTCCTCATCCCGAGCCGTTGTTTGACGGCCCCGAGGCCCCGTAAGGGCTCCCCCGAGGCCGAAAATATACGGAAACCTCCCGTCCCGATTTTTGTATGACGCGATCGTGTCCAGGAAGACCTCCCAGTGGTCGCCTCCTGAATTCTTGGGTCGGTGCTCTGGGGGCCACCTGGGCCTCCCGGGGAGTCCACCCTGGGCCCAGGTCGGGCGTGTCCCTCTGCAGGGGGGATACTCAAACATAGTCAAGTAATAGTATGGGGACGATTTGTTTCGATTATTTTTGGGCGATCCTTGAATATTTGATTGGTAATTTTTGATTTTTCGTCCCAAAATCCGCCTGTAGGAGGACATGCCCGACCTAACTGGGCCACGGGCAGTACGGTGGAGACCCCTGCCAAGAAACACCCAACTTGCCTCCAGGCTGCCCTGGGTTTCTTGGTTGTCGATGGTTTTGCGATGGAGAGCGTGACGCTCCCACACCAAAGATCAATGGACGTCCTGGGGTCTCAGGGTTGGGTCTCTTGTTGAAGGTTTCTTGTGGTCGGGCCCATGTCCCAGAGATCCGACGTCGTGATTTTTCAATATGGGCCCCCCAGAAGTCTCGACCCCTTCCCCGGGACCGGTTTCTCATCCTGAGTCGTTTTTGACGGCCCCAGGGCCCGTCGAGGGCCCCTCGAGGCCAAAAAATAGAAAGAACCTTTGTCTTTTCTGTTGCATCTTCGGGGGACCTCGCCTGTCCCAAGAAATGGTGTCTTTGGAGGGGCCCGACGCGTGCTCGATGCGGACTCGACGCGGATTTGTCGTGGATTCGACGCGGATTCGACGCGGATTCGACACGGACTCGAGACGGATCCGACGCGTCCGACTTGGATTCGACACGGATTCGACGCGGACAGGGCCGCGACGGGACAGACAAGGCCCCCCGAGGATGCAACATGACGCTTTGATTTTTTCAATACGTTGGATCTCTGGGATTGTACCTGAGCGCACCCGAGCAGGGCGCCGGCGCCAGCCAGCGCGCCGCGGGGGCGTGGCGCTGGGCGCCCGCGCCCGCGCCGGCACCGCAGGCCGGCGCGCCCGCGCGCCGCAGGCCGGCGCGCACCGGCACGGCCATTCACCGCCGTCCCTTCGGTGCACCGAGGGGGAGGGAGGGGGAGGAGGAGGAGGAGGAGGAGGAGGAGGAGGAGGAAGGAGGGAGGAGGAGGAGGGAGGAGGAGGAGGAGGAGGAGGAGGAGGAGGAGGAGGAGGAGGCGGAGAGACGAGGGACGAGGAGGAGAGGAGGACGAGGAGGAGAGGAAGGACGAGGAGGAGGGACGAGGAGGACGCGGAGGACGAGAGACGAGGAGGAGACGAGGAGGACGAGGAGGACGAGGGAGGGACGAGGAGGACGAGGAGGGGCCGAGGAGGAGGAGGGGAGGAGGAGGAGGAGAGGAGGAGGAGGAGGAGGAGGAGGAGGAGAGGAGGAGGAGGAGGAGGAGGAGGAGGAGGAGGAGGAGGAGGAGGAGGAGGAGAGGAGGAGGAGGAGGAGGAGGAGGAGAGGAGGGGTGGGGAGGAGGGAGGAGGAGGCGGGAGGAGGAGGAGGAGGAGGAGGAGGAGGAGGAGGAGGAGGAGGAGGAGGAGAGGACGAGGGAGAGAGGAGGAGGAGGATGGAGGAGGAGGAGGAGGAGGAGGAGGAGGAGGAGGAGGGGAAGGAGGGGGAGAGAGGGGGAGGGGGAGGAGAGGGAGGAGGAGGAAGGAGCGAGGAGGAGTGAGGGGGAGAGGAGGGGAGGAGGGGAGGAGGGGGAGAAGGAGGAGGAGGATGAGGAGGAGGAGGAGGAGGAGGAGGAGGAGGAGGAGGAGGAGGAGGAGGAGGAGGAGGAGGAGGAGGAGGAGGAGGGGAGGAGAGGGAGGAGGACGAGTGAGGGACGAGGAGACGAGGAGTGCAGGAGGAGGGAGGAGAGGAGGAGGAGGAGGAGGAGGAGGGGGAGGAGGGGAGGAGGGGGAGGATGGGGGAGGAGGGGGAGGATGGGGAGGAGGGGGAGGAGGAGAGGAGGAGGAGGAGGAGGAGGAGGAGGAGGAGGGGGAGGAGGAGAGTAGGAGGAGGAGGAAGAGGGGAGGAGGAGGAGGAGGAGGAGGAGGAGTAGGAGGAGGAGGAGGAGGAGGGGAGGGGGAGGGAAGGAGGAGGAGGAGGAGGAGGAGGAGGAGGAGGAGGAGGAGGAGGAGGACCAGTGTAAGCCCAAGGGTCATCAACGATGTTGGAGTAAACCCTTTTTCCAAGCTCCCCCTGCATAGGCCCCTACAACGGTTCATTTCCATTGAGGGAGCTGCCTCCTCGGAAGACACCCGTTTGGAGACCCTGAACCATGCCAAAACATTGTTCTCGGAAGCCAGCGCCACGGACAAACCTGCATGTTGCGTCTTGACGATCCTGAATCGTGCCAGAACGCCATTCCGAGGACTTCAACACAGAGAATCAACCTGACTGTTGTACTCAATCCTTCCAAAACGCCATTTCTGGTACGTTGATGATGGGAACCCGTGAAACTTTTATGAACGTTGTAAACGAATGTGCGCGGCGCTAGGGCGAGAGCCACATCTTGAAAAAGAACTGCCCTCAATCCTTGAAGCTCCTGCAGTTTGTTTAAACAAATGTGCGCGGCGCTAAGGCGAGAGCCAAATTTTGAAAACGACCCGCCCTCGATCCGTGAGGCTCTTGCAAATGTTTAAACGAATGTGCGCCGCGCTAAGGCGAGAGCCACATTTTTGGAAAATCGCCCGCCCTCAACCTGTGAAGCTCTTGCAACTATTTTAAAACGAATGTGCGCGGCGATAAGACGAGAGAGCCACATTGTGAAAACCGCTCGCCCTCGATCCATGAAGCTCTTGCATTTGTTTAAAACGAATGTGCACCGCGCTGAGGCGAGAGCCACATTTTTGAAAACCACCCGCCACCCATTTGTGAAGCTGTTGCCAACACTTTAAACTTCAGAATCATCAGTGGTGAGGGAGTCTCAGGCGAAACGCCCGGCCCGCCCTAAAAACTTGGCTTCGGGCTGCGACAGGGAGAAGTTATGTATAAGGAAAAGGAATGGAGGAGCAGGAGGAGAGGAGGAGGAGGAGGAGGAGGAGGTGGTGCAGGAGGAGGACCAGTGTAAACCCAAGAGTCACCAACGATGTTGGCAGCCACCCTCCCTCTAAGCTCCCTTTTCACAGGCCTCTACAACGGTTCATTTCCATTAAGGGAACTGCCTCGTTGGAAGACAACCGTTTGAAGATCCTGCAGCATGCCATTACACTGTTCTCGGGACTTCAACGCCACGTATCAACCTGGCTGCCGCGTTCTTGCGATTCGGAATTGTGCCAAAACGCCATTTGGTGATTTCAACACCGCGATTCAACATAACTGTTGCACCCGCATAATCTGGAGTCCTTCCAAAACACCATCTTTGGTACGTTGATCATGAGAACCAGTGAAACTTCTGCAGTTGTTTAAAACGAATGTGCGCGGCGCGAAGGCGAGAGCCACATTTTGAAAAGGAACCGCCCTCAATCCGTGAAGCTCTTGCATTTTTACAAAGAATGTGCGCGGCGCTAAGGCGAGAGCCACATCTTGAAAAAGAACTGCCCTCAATCCCTGATGCTCCTGCAGTTTGTTTAAACAAATGTGCGCGGCGCTAAGGCGAGAGCCACATTTTGAAAACCACCCGCCCTCAATCCGTGAAGCTCCTTGCAAATGCTGAAAACGAATGTGCGCGGCGCTAAGGCGAGAGCAACATTTTGAAAACCACCCGCCCTCAATCCGTGAAGCTCTTGCATTGTTTTACAAGGAATGTGCGCCGCGCTAAGGCGAGAGCCACATTTTGAAAACGACCCGCCTTCAATCAGTGAAACCCTTGTAGGTTTTGAAAACGAATGTGCGCCGCGCGAAGGCCAGAGCTACATTTCGAAAACGACCCGCCCTCCATTCGTGCAAATTGCTGCCACTTTCTAAGCTTCAGAGTCATAAATGGCGAGGAAGTTTCAGGCGAAACGCCCGGCCCGCCCTAAAAACTTGCCTCGAGGTGCGACAGGGAGGATTTCTCGATAGGGAGAAGGAATCGATGATGATGATGATGATGATGATGATGATGATGATGATGATGATGATGACGACGATGACGATGACGATGATGATGATGATGATGATGATGATGATGATGATGATGATGATGATGATGATGATGATGATGATGATGATGATGATGATGTATGATGATGATGATGATGATGATGATGATGATGATGATGATTATAGATGGATGATGATGACGATGATGATGATGATGATGATGATGTATTGATGATGATGGATGATGATGATGATGATGATGATGATGATGATGATGATGATGATGATGATGATGATGATGATGATGATGATGATGAGAGGAATCGATGATGATGAGGAGAGGAGAAGAGGGAGGGGGAGGGAGGAGGAAGGAGGGGAGGAGGGGGGGAAAGGAGAGGGAGGAGGAGGCGCGAGGAGGGTGGAGGAGGAGGGGAGGAGGGAGGAGAGGAGGAGGAGGAGGAGGAGGAGGAGGAGGCGGAGGAGGAGGCGGAAGAGAGGGGAGAAGGAGGAGGAGGAGGATCAGGAGAGGAGGAGGAGGAGGAGGATGAGGGGAAGCGAGGGGAGGAGGAGGAGGAGGAGAGGAAGGAGGTAGGAGGAGGAGGAGGAGGAGGAGGAGGAGGAGGAGGCGGAGGAGGAGGAGGAGCGAGGAGGAGGGGAGGAGGAGGAGGAGGGGGAGGAGGAGGAGAGGAGGAGGAGGAGGAGGAGGAGGAGGAGGAGGAGGAGGAGGAGGAGGAGGAGGAGGGGGAGGAGGAGGAGGTGGCACGAGGCTCGTGGCTCTGCGACTGCCGCGAGGTCTGATCCACGCGATCCGCATGGTATATCATGGAGCGATCGCTGCCTCCACGAGGGGCGCCACCATGTCCTTCGCGTTCCGGATTTGCAGTGGAGCCCTCCAAGGCTGCCCACTCAGCGGGCACCTCTTGATCCTCCTGAGCGCCCCCTTCATGTGGGATCCTTGGGCAGGGATCGACCTGGCGAGGCATGGGGCGACGCGGCGTTGCGCGGACGACATCGGCGCGTTGGCCCTGGACACAAAGGCGCGTAGGGTGCTTGGGCGGGTGTTCAGGCTTGCTGAGCTCGTTCGCGCATGTGCGCTTGAAGCCCGCCAAGTGCGCCGCCATTCCCCTTGACCAGCCGTGCACGGACGAGGCGGTGAGCTCGACGCAGGCGCTACTCCGGGAGATCCAGGCAGAATGGGGACGGTTCAAGACGGTGAGTTCCGCCGAATACCTCGGCTTCACCATCGGGCCAGGCGCCTCCCGAGGATTGGACCAGCCCTCCCTGCAAGTGGCAGGCGCGAGCGAGAGAGTTCGCCCGTGCTGGGGGCGACGGCCACACCGTGGTCCGCCTGTACACGACGCGTGCAATCCCTACGACCTCCTACGTCAGCCAACTGCTACCGATGCAGTTGCGGACCCGTGACACCGAGATCGGGGTTTTCGCCCGGCTCCTCCGGGTGCCGACGACGACTTGCCGCCATGCCGATTGGCATAACCTAGATGCTCTGGGAGGCCCGTCGCTGCCGAGCACCGTCGTGACTGCCGCCGCCGCACTCGCCAGGACGGCTACGACGACCGGCCCCGAGTGGAGCCACAGTTTTTCTTCCTCCTCCTGGTCCTCCTCCTCCTCCTCCTCCACCTCCTCCTCCTCCTCCACGTCCTCCTCCTCCTCCTCCACGTCCTCCTTTTCTTCCTCCTCCTCCTCATCCTCCTCCTCCCCGTCCTGCTCCACACATGGAAAGGATCCTCCACGCCGCCGCCAAGGAGGTCTTGCCGATCGCCTCTCTCACGCGTGGCGCGAGGGACTGCGGCATCTGGCGCGAGAGGCCGCTGGTCGAGCACCCCCGCGAGGCCAGCGACGGGTTCCCTAACCGTCACAAGCCGGGGATCCACGCCGCGACGCTGCGCCGGACGGTCGCGGAGGCACGCCTCCTCCGCGTGCCCGTGGCCGCCCAGGCCTTCCGAAGACGCGCGCGGCGCAGGTGGTGCCGCACGGCCTGCAGGAGGAGGCCCGGGAGCGCCTCGGGAAGCGGGGTTCCCTGCACTCGCTCCGCTGCTCCCCGCGGTGGCTCGACAGAGACGGCGGGGGCACTCCTGCGGGGGCGCGCCCCCCCCCCGGTGACGAACCAACAACACACACCCACATGCCATAGGGGCATCGGCGAGGGCCATGGGTGCGTGTTGTCGGAGGGGGGTCCCCGCTCGAACGCGAGCGTTCCCCAGGGTCCGACAGCCCGCACCCATACCCATGGCCAGTCCTCCTCCCAACGACCTCCCTCGCTCGCTTGCCAGCCCGGTGAGGCCCGCCCTCCTGCAGACAAATTGGCCGTGCGCGTGGCCCAAAGGGGCGACGGCTGCAGGGCGAGGGCGCCGGCCAGGCGTGCCCCCTCGGGTGCGACGGGGAGCCCTGGCTCCTCCTCCTCCTCCTCCTCCTCCTCCTCCTCCTCCTCCTCCTCCTCCTCCTCCTCCTCCTCCTCCCCCTACTCCCCCTCTCTCCTCTCCTCCTCCTCCTCATCCTCTTCCTCCTCCTCCTCCTCCCCTCCCTCCCCTACTCCTCCTCCCTCTCCTCCTCCTTACTCCTACTCTCCCTCACTCCTCCTCCTCCTCCTCCCTCCTCCTCCTCCTCCTCCTCCTCCCTCCTCCCTCATCCTCCTCCTCCTCCTCTACTCCTCAATCACAAGCTCCCCTACCTCCTCCTCCTCCTCCTCCTCCTCCTCCTACAGTCGGGGCCCTGAACAAGGAACCCTTTTCGTTGGGGAGGGGCTCCGCGTTCCTTAAGTGTTTCACAGCTTGCCTCAGACTTTCCTCAGGTCTTCGATGGGACATCGAAGTTTAACTTATGGAAAATAGGGGCCTCGTTCCTTATTTGGGGTTCCTTAGGTCAACGCCCCGACTGCACTTTGGGGAATTTCGTAAGTGGGGCTCGGAAGTCCCGCCCTACTCTCCAAGCCCCGCGGGTGCCGATCTCCGCCTTGCGTTTCTGCTGCTGTTCCCGCCCTATACTTCTGTGGATTGCCGCCCCACTTTCTGCTGGGTGCAGAGATTTCCGCCCCACCTTTTCGGCCTCTTACAGGTGGATTTCCGACGCTATTTTAAGTTGGACAAAAAAGCCAAAGCAGGGCGGATCTGGTGTCGGGGAGGAGGACGCGATGTACCGCGCCCTCCAGGATTGCGCTGGCCTCCCGCGCGCGCTGGACGAGGCGACGGGCGCCCGGAGGGGCTCCTCCCTGGCGCTCCGACCCGGTCTCGACGGATCGGTCGAGAGCACGCTGGCCGCGGCAGCCGGATGGCATGTGTGGCGGATTATCACTCGGGTTGGTCCAAAAGGGGGTCCAGCGACAAGGGGGTGGTGCAATAGATATAGTGCAATCGATTTGTGGGGTTGCAATACATTTGGGGCGTGCCATACATTCCGGGGCGCAAAGGTATTGCTGGGTCTTCACGTGCAATACGTTAGTTGCAATACAATGCGATACAATTCTCTGGCGCAATACATTTGCGCGGCAGCCGGATGGCATGTGTGGCGGATTGCCCGCTGCGGGAACCTGACCGACACCCTGCTGGTGGAAGTTGGGCGGGCAGCAAGCTTCGGATGCGCGCTGAGGACCGCCAGGGGGGCGCCGGAGCGCTGCTCTGGAGCCGCGGGGCTCGTCCGCGATTGAGGGGCCCACAAGTTCATCGTCGTCTTCTTCGGCGTCCGCGGACTCCGCGGCATCGCCGAGGCTCACCCCGTGGGTGTCCTCGCCCTCGTGCTCGCGGGTGCCCTTGTTCCTGCTCGTCGCTCTCGCCGGCGGGTTCGCCCAGCGGCTTCTTCAGCTTGGCGGCGTCTTCCACTGCTCCGAGAGCACTGGCGATGCCCCCCATCGAGCCCAGGCTTGGCTGATCATGCACGTTTTACCTTCCCGCCCTTCTCGGAGCTCGGTGGGCTCCTCTCTGAGGGCGACCGGCCGGCGGCGTCAGCGTGGAGCCTCTGAGAGCGCACGTTCGCGGAGGAGGAGGAGGAGGAGGGGGAGGAGGAGGAGGAGGAGGAGGAGGAGGAGGAGGAGGAGGAGGAGGAGGAGGAGGAGGAGCTCCCAGCGCCTTCCCCTCGGTGCCTTCGCCGCCGTGCAGGCGCCCGAGGTCTGGCGCTGTGGTCTTCTGTGAGGGCGGGCGGCGTTCAGACCCCCATCGCGTGGTGAAAAAGTCGCGATCCGGGCGGTTTTCCGCCGTTCTCGGCCTCTTTACGGGGCCTCGGGGCCGTCGAAAAAACGATTCGGGATGAAGAGCCGGTCCCAGGGGAAGGGGTCCAGACCTCTGGGGGTCGACGTGGTGACAAAAAGCCCCGCCGTCGGGGGTCTGGCGTCTCCACCTTTTCGAGCCGGGCGTTGGCGCTTCTTTTCAGGCCCCGGCACCCTCATAGATCGATCCGGCGCGACAAATGACGCAGAAAGATACACACTGCTCATCTCTAATGCTTCGAATACTGTTTGATTTCTGGGGGGCCAAGATCCTTTCATTTCTACTTGTTCTATCCTGAGCCTCTTCCTGGTCACTAGGGGGCCGGGAACAATTAGAAACGGCCACACTTAGAACTGCGCGCGATTAGACATGAACGACGTGTAGGGTCCTTGCGTAATTCTTATGTGCGCGCAGAATTCGTATGCGCGCGCGCATAATTCTTAAGTGCGCGCGCAGAATTCGTATGTGCGTGCCCTCAACTATGAGGCTGATAGGACTAAAAGGAGAAACAGAAAGCCAAGGTCCCGGGCCCCGGTCGCGAACGTTTGCGATGTTGCAGTGTTTTTGGTGCAGCGTCGGATCTCCGGGCGTGCGGGCGGCTCTCCAGACCCCCTCCGCGTTGTGCACAGCTATCGCGATCCGGGTGGTGTTTTTCGCTGCTCTCGGCCTCCGGGGGCCTCTTTAGACGGGGCCTCGGGACCGTCGAACATTGTTCGACGTTGTTACAACGACACAGGATGAAGAGCCGGTCCCGGGGAAGGGATCCAGACCTTTCTGTGTCGAAGTTGTGAACAGATCATGGTTTCGGGGGTCTGGCGTCGCAATTCTTTCGAGCCAGGCGTTTTCGCCTCGATCTTTTCAGGCCCCAGGACCCTCACAGATCGATCCGGCTCGACAGGTGACGCAGAGAGCTGGGGTCTAGGGCTCTGGGCGTGATTTCTGCGTGTTGCAATTTTTGAAGCGTCGGATTTCAGGGTATCGTGTAGTGAAAAAGTCTTGGCGGGAGGAGGCTCTTCGCTACTTTCGGCCTCCGGAGGCCCTGAGCCGGCCCTCGGGACCGTCAACAGAGCAGCTCAGCATGGAAAGCCAGTCCCGGAGAAGGGGTCCAGAGCGCTGGCGCTCCACGTCGTGAAAAAGCCACGACGCCGGGGCTCTGGGTATCGGAGGGCACACGTCGTGCACCTACACCGATCCTGGCCAGATCCTGGGCCCAGGATCGGTGTACAGACCTTCTTGCCCAAGCCAGGAAGGTGTGTACACCGACCCCAGGCTCAGAGCCTGACCAGGAGTTGGAGGGCAACGTCCACCTGCCCCTGGAAGACCAACGCTTTTTAGCCACAAGCGTCCATGCACACAGGATGTCGCTACGCACATAGACGCAGTCGGGGGCGGACGCGTCTCTAGGCAAAGAGGCCGTTGCGTCCCTGCGTTCGGCGCAGCACAGGGTCGGAGCAAGGGCAGATGCGTCTATGGTATGTTCCTGTTCTAAAGCGGGGTCCTGCATGGTACTCCGAGCCAAGATCTGTGCAGGTGTCTAGAGGCGTCCTCCCACCGGAGCCCCAGACCCCACCCTTCCGGGCCAGCTCTCGAGCCGGATCCTTCTGTGAGGGCCCTCGGGCCCGCAGCCGGCCGAAGCCGCCCGTGAAATTGTGAAGACACCGCGGTCTGCCTGGATCTCAGGGTACACCGATCCACGGCCCAGAGCCTGGCCAGGACCGGTGCAGGCGTATTCAGGAGGGGAAAAAACACACAGACACAATCAATCGTCGATCCCCCAGAAAGTATGGAAAGATATGGGAATTGAGGCGGGAAGACGAAGACTCAGAAAATACAGAAAAATATGGGGAATCGTTTGATCTGTGTGTGTTTATTTGTGTGTCCTTGGGCCCCTTCATGTATGAGTGGGCGTCCTCCCAGGGTGGTCATCGTCGGTGCTGGCCCTGGGGGCCTGGCGCTCGCGAGCTCGCTGTCCCGCATCCCGGGCCTGGACGTCCGGATCCTGGAGGCCCGGGCGGCCAACAAGGGCAGCGCCCGGTCCCACAGCATAGGCCTCGGCAGGAGGGCGAGGGAGGCCTTGATCGCCGTGGGCGGCGAGGAGCTGTGGCGCCGCGTCAAGGATCGGCTGCGCGTACAGTCGGGGCCCTGAAGAAGGAACCCTTTTCGTTGAGGAGGGGCTCCGTGTTCCTTAATTGTGTCGCAGATTGCCTTAGGTTGTCCTTAGGTTTCCGATGGGAAAGCGAAGTTTAACTTGTGGAAAAAAGGGGCCTCGTTCCTTATTTATCGTTCCTTAGGTCAACGCCCCGACTGTAAGAGTGACCCTTCGCAGGAGTGACCCTTGGTCCTGTCCTATGGACCCCCTCGAGCCAGGAAGCGACCACGACAGGAGGTGCCTCGCCGCTTTCGGCCTCTGGGGGCCCCTACACCGCGGCGGGCCTCGGGACCGCCAGAAACAGCGCCTCAGGACGAGAAGCCCTCGGCATCGCTCGGACGTGTGCATTTTTCCTTCGGCGAGGACCATCGAGGAGCATCCTTGATCATTTGGCGAAAAGCCACGCACGAAACCGAACAAACACACAGGGAATGGACGTCCGAGCGATGCCAAGGGCGTCGGGGGCCCGCTGAGGCACTGGCTTGCGCGCTTGGGGCTGGTCCCCCCGCGGCCCCCCCGGCAGCCGCGCGCCGAGGCCCCGGACGGCGTGATTGTTTCGTGGCATGGGCTCCCAGATCTGGACAGCCCCCGGGACCGGCTTTTCGCCCCGAAGCGTTTCTGGAAGGTGCCGATCGGGCCGGTGCGGGGGCCCCCCGGAGGCCCCGGAGGCCGAGGGACCTCTCGTCGCGAGCTTTTCCACTTCGCGAGGGGGTCTGGGAGTGGCTCTCGGAAGGTACCCACGAGGTCCCAAGAGAGAGGCCCCCAGCACACCCCGAGTTTCAGTTCCACCCCCCTCGGATCCTCGAGGGAGGTGCTGGGCCTGCCCCTCCGGTCCTCCCCTCCTTCCCTGCCCCCTCCATCCCTTCCCCCCCCCCCCCTCCTACTCCTCCTCCTCCTCCTCCTCCTCCTCCTCCTCCTCCTCCTTCTCCTGTCCAGGGCCACTCCAGCGTGTGGCCGAGAGGAGCAGGGGTTCGTGGCCAGTGGCTTCTGTCTCCACCTCAACGGCTTCGCCCTGGAGCTGCCGCCCCCCGAGGCCGGCCGGCGAGGTTCACCCAGACCTCCACCGCAGGGAAAGCTTTCGAGGCGAAGGTTTGCCGTCGTTCCCAGGCCCCCTCGAGTGGCGAAGAAGTCACGACCTATTTTTTTCGCTACCGTCGGCCTCAGGGGGCCCTGACCGGACCTCGGGCTTGTCAAAAAGCGGCACTGGATAGAAAGCCGGTCCCGGGGAAGGGGTCCAGACCTTAGGGGGTCGACGCTGCGAAAGAACCTCGACGTCGGGGGCCTGGGTATTGAAAACATCGAGGCGCAGGTGTTGCATCGTCTTCGGCGTCTCTGGGCCCTCGCTGGGCCCCGGGACAGTCACAAAGAACGGCCTGGGACGAACCCTCGGTCACCGAGACGTGGCCCAGAGCTCTGGGGACTCCGTATTGAGGCTTACAGGGCCGACCTGCAGGTACCCTGGGAGGGGTTGTGAGGTTTTCCAAAAGTGGGGTCGTTGGTGCCATTATTATGGCTGTTGGATTAGGAGGTTTGGCCCTTGGCCTGGCTAAGGGCAGTGTAATTATCGGATTTGGGGGGGTGAGATCGCCGTGAAGCAGACTCGCCCAAGCGGGAAAACGATTTTTCGGTCTCGGCTCGTGTCGTGCGTGGTGTGCGTGCGAGGCGAGGCGATGCGAAGTTGCGCGAGGGTTTGCTGCAGTAGAGGCCGAAAGCCCAGGATGCGTCGTACTGGCCGCAATAGAGGCTGTACTGGGAGAGGTACTAGTTGTTGTGCCAAGGAGCTGTAGTACGAGCTGCGTTAATATATGCAGAGTGCGTTGCAGTAGTAGCTCTTATGAGATCTGCATGTTTGGCCCCACTAGAAACTGCACGGGTCTGTAGTGAGAGCTGCAGGATTACCTGACGTAGGAGTTTCGGTGGGAGCTGTGCTATTGACTCCAAGAGGTTCTGCAATGGGAGATGTAGCCGGGGATGTAGTAGAGCTGCGGCAGACGTTGTAACAGATGTATCAACAGCTGTGGTACGAGCTGTAGTGGGAGCTGTGCGAGCTGTATTATTGTTTGTGGTATGATCTGACATCGGAGCTGTAGTGCGAGCTATGCTGAAAGCTGCGCTGAGCTGTAGAAGGATCTGTCGTAGGAGTTGTAGTGAGAACTGCGTTGCTGTTTGGTGTATGCATTGCTGTTGGAACTGTAGTGGTATGTGTAGGAGAGCTGCAACAGACGCTGCAGCAGGAACTGTATCAATAGCGTCGGTAGGAGCTGCATTGGGAACTATAGTGGAAGATGTGCGACTGGCTGTCATATGGATTGTAGTAGTATGTCGTAGGAGCTGTGCGGTGAGCTGTATTGATAGCTGTCTACTGGTTGTCGAAGGATCCGTCGCAGGTGATGCAGACAGACTGAGCATGCGACGAAACGGGACGGGGGCGGAAGAGAGCAATGAAGACGAGAGTGAAAGATCGGAGGAGCGAGAGTGGCCACGGAAGAAGAGAAACTGAAATCACCGAGCACGAGGCAACATGTATGATCACCTGGGGGGGGGCGCGAGCACTGATATATGTATATATTTACATAAGCATATATGTTTACACACGTACATACATACATGCACATATGTGTGTAACTATTATGCATGCACACATCTTTATGAAGTACATATACACGTATATGAACACATGCCAACACATGTAACACGTAGTATATGCATATGTGCATCTACCTAGGTGCCAGAACATATGGAGAGGCACTGATCTACATTTGTTGTTTTTTGTTCTCTCTCTCTCACACTACGTGTGTTAACACCTGGGCATACACCTACCAATATGTACATACCGCTCGATTGGTAAGTGAACATCCGTTTTGATGTCCCGATATGCGTCCACTCGTGAGATGTATTGTGCGTCCTGTGCAAATCAAAAATGGCGTCACCTCCCAAGCCTCCTGATGATCCGAAGCGCGGTCCATGAGGTATGGCTATATACAGACCTCGTCGCCCTGCCCAGGGGGAGCCCGTTGTGCTGGTGGACCGGTGGAAGATCTGCGAGGCCATCTCCGAGCACATCTCGGACGGGGCCAGGACGAGGATAAATCCGTTCCAGAGCGCTCCAGAACGCTTTCAGAGCGTTCCGGAACGCTCTGAGAAGGCCGCGGCGCCCGAGACATCCTCCAGAGGTGCCGGATTTTGGAGATTCTCGATTGATTGGGGATGCGAAAAGGTACCGATACCGCTACTCCCCGGACCTCTCCCAGGGTGCGTTCTGACCAAGATTTCGAGGAGAATCCAGCGGTGGCGACGAAGGCCTCCCGGGAGGCCCAAATATGGGGGAAACGAGGGAACGGTAGTGGTATGCGTACCTTTTCGCCCTCTCAAGATCAGGAGGGAAAGAAACACACAGACACAATGAATCGTCGACTCCCAGGAAAATATGCAAAAATATGGGAAGTGGGGGGAAGACAAAAACCCCAAGATATGGGACAAGCATTGGAGTCTTTTTAGTTGTGTGCATTTATTTGTGTGTCCTGGGGCCCCTTCGCAAGATTCACCCTCGCCCGAATTTGTCCTGGTCTTGGCTTCGTCTCAGCATCGCGTCGGTGGAGCACGCGCCGGGCACCACGATCGCGGTGGAGAGCGGCGTGCGGGTGAGCTCGGTGGACCTGGTCCAGAGGCGCCTGGCGCTCGACCGCAGCGCCGCGGCCCCGCAGGAGGTCGGGGGGAGAACGGGGTACCGATCGATGCCGCTGCTCGTCCTGGAGGGCCCTCGTCGCCGCGGGTCCCTCCTCCTCCTCCTCCTCCCTCCCCCCTCCCTCCTCCCTCCCTCCTCCTCCTTCCTCCTCCATCCCTCATCCTCATCCTCCTCCTCCGCCTCCCCTCTCCTCCTCCTCCCTCTCCCTCCTCCTCCTCTCCTCTCCTCCTCTCCTACTCCTCCTCCTCCTCCTCCTCCCTCCTCCTCCCCCTCCTCCTCCTCCTCCTCCTCCTCCTCTTCCTTCCCGCCCAGACCCCCTCGCGTCGTGAAAAAAATCACGCTGGGAGGCTTTTCGTTATTTTCGGCTTCCAGGGGCCCTCGCCAGGCTTCGGGGCCGTCGACAAAAAGACTCAGGATGAAAAGCCCGTCCCGGGGAGGGGGTCGACGTTGTGGGAAAATCACGACGCTGGGGGTCTGGGGTGGATTCTCCCCGAAGTTGTGGTCAGAATGCACCCCAGGGGGTGTCCAGGGAGCTGCGGTATCAGTCCCCGCTCGTCCCCGCAGGATAGGCGTCACCCCAACATACTAATACTATGTGCGAATCGCCCCCCCGAGGGGCGACGCGCGCATCAAGATATCTCATATAATATGCGTCGTGGCGGGCGCTTTCTGGCCACACCGCTCGGGAAACGATGTACTATAAGATGGGTATACTTTAGGTTCGGGCCGGACGCGCGCCTCCAAGGAGGACATAAAGTATTAGTATGTCTCTGTGCGTCCCCCACAGGAGGAGGAGGGAGGCGTGCTGCGGAGCCTGCTCTTGAGCGGGGGCGGTAGCAGCAGCAGCGAGGACACCATGTCGTGGGATCTCCTGGTGGGGGCCAGCGGTGTGCGCTCAACGGTCCTCAGGAGGGAGAGAAAAAACATAGGCACAATCGATCGTCGATCCCCAGGAAAATGTTGGAAAATATGGGAAGGGGGGGGGGGGGAAGACGAAAACGTATAAAATACCAGAGAACATAGGGAATCTTAGGACTTCTATGTACCTATGTGTCATGTGTGTGTCCCTGGGCCCCTTCAGGTCCGCCAGGCGATGAGTACCCAGTTGCCCGCCAGCGCCTTCGAATCAGAGGTAAAGACGCAGCCAGGTCGCTGGCAGGTGCTCAACATGGGCCTCCCGCCTGCCTTCGTGGCTGGCAGCGTGCACGCGATGGTAAACTCGAAGGCACCCTTTGGTCTCTTCTGCATCCCCAATATCACCGGCGAACACTGCATCATCGTATCCTGGAGCAACGAGGAGACGCCCGAGGAGCTGATGCGCGCGAAGACTCCGCGGGAGCTCGAGGATGCCATCCTGAAGTACTTCCCCAAGGTGGGCCACGTCCCCGAGGACGCCGCGAGGCAGTTTATCGAGAGCCAGGCCTCGAGAGCGGTGTTGAGTCGCTGCCGCCCGTTGCACGATGCAGATGCCGGCGTCTGCGTCCTCGGCGACGCCGCTCACGCTGTGGGCGGCGGCTCGCTGGGCCAGGGATGCAGTGCTGCGCTGCAGGACACCTTGCGATTGCCACGGTGGGCGCATCCAAAGGAGCCTGCCACTCGAAGATTTCTCCACGGGCCTAACAGATTTCTGGGCGCTTTGCAACGCTTAGCATGTCGACGGCAAATGCGCCCCTAGACTTCCTGCAGAACCATGCTGTTCTGGTTTGCTCTCTTATGACATCGGACCGGCGGCGAGCGAGGGGGCGAAGTGAGAAGGGGCGGGCCTTCTCAGCAGGCCCGGAAGTCCCCTGTCATTCTGAGAAGTCTTCTAGAGCTCCCCTGGAGACAAAGAAAGCCTCTCAGAAGGCCGGAGGCCTTCTGAGAGGCCCCGCCGCCTTTCTGAGGAGGCCCTCTCCTTGTCACCTTTCCCCTCCTCGCTCGACGCCGATTGGGGACATGGCGTCTCCCGTGGCCGAGCAGGGGCGGGGGGAGCGGGAGGCAGAGGCGGGTGCGGGAGGGGCGGGACAGCGGGAGGGTGGGCAGGGGTCAAGGGGGGGAGGGGGGGGGGCGGCGCAGGGGAGCCAAGAGGGCGAGGGTGAGGTGGGTGAGGTGGGGGCCAGGCCCAGATCCATACCAAGAGTCAAGGAGTCACCACCCACCAAACCACCCCAACCCAACCCAACCCGAAGGCCCCGAGCTGCCCAGGGGGGGGGGCGCGTCAGGGAACAGTCTGGGAAAAACGTGTGGAGCCCGTACCCCTCTCGACCCGAAATCGGGGTCTTCGGGTTGGGCTGGGGTGGACTGGCAGGTAGTCAGCGAGGGAGCCAGACATGTGGGGAGCACACGGGCGGGGAGGGAATGGGGGGCGGGAGGAAGGGCCCCGGCCGGCCCAGGCCCGAGGGCCTCCGGTGGCCCCTCGTGGGCTGGGCAGGGAGGGAGGGAGGGAGGGAGGGAAGGAGGGAGGGAGGGGGGAGGGAGGGAGGGAGGGAGGGGGGAGGGAGGAGGAGGAGGAGGAGGAGGAGGAGGAGGAGGAGGAGGAGGAGGAGGAGGAGGAGGAGAGGAGGAGGAGAGGAGGAGGAGGAGGGAGGAGGAGGAGGAGGAGGGAGGAGGAGGAGGGGGAGGAGGAGGAGGAGAGGAGGGGGAGGAGAGGAGGAGGAGGAGGAGGAGGAGGAGGAGGAGGAGGAGGAGAAGGAGGAGGGGGAGGAGGGGAGGAGGAGGAGGGGAGGAGGAGGAGGAGGAGGAGGAGGAGGAGGAGGAGGAGGAGGAGGAGGAGAGGAGGAGGAGGAGGAGGAGGAGGAGGAGGAGGAGGAGGGGGGGGGAGGAGGAGGGGAGGAGGAGGAGGAGGAGGAGGAGGAGGAGGAGGAGGAGGAGGAGGGAGGAGGAGGAGGAGGAGGAGGAGGAGGAAGAGGAGGAGGAGGAGGAGGAGGAGACGGAGAGGAGGAGGAGGAGGAGGGGGAGGAGGAGGAGGAGAGAGGAGGAGGAGGAGAGGAGGAGGAGAGGAGGAGGAGGAGGAGGAGGAGGGGAGGAGGAGGAGGAGGAGGCGGAGGCGGAGGCGGAGGAGGAGGAGGAGGAGGAGGAGGAGGCGGAGGAGGAGGAGGAGGAGGAGGAGGAGGAGGAGGAGGAGGCGGGCGGAGGCGGAGGCGGAGGCGGAGGCGGAGGAGGAGGAGGAGGAGGAGGAGGAGGAGGAGGAGGAGGAGGAGGAGAGGAGGAGGGAGGAGGAGGAAGAGGAGAGGAGGAGGAGGAGAGGAGGAGGAGGAGAGGAGGAGGAGGAGGAGGAGGAGGAGGAGGAGGAGGAGGAGGAGGAGGAGGAGGAGGCGGAGGTCTGGGAGGCGCGGGGAGCGGGCGAGAGGGGAGGGCTCGGGCCCTTGGCTGTCCTGATGCGCCCGTCTTGAGGCGCAGGGCGCGCCGGCCGTGTTCGGAGCGTTCGTGCTAGCATGCTGCGTGTTGGCTCAACGTGTTTGCCCACGTCTTGGCGATCGTATCGCGTCATTCTATCGGCGAGCGCGTTCCAACGCACGGCCACGGCCACCGAACCCCAGGGCAGTGGGGCCGCTACGCCCATGCTTTGATTGATAACAACGTCTTCCTTGTCTGCACGCGCGGGACGCTCCCGAGACAGGCTGCGAAGGGTCCGGCGCGGGGGCCTCGCAAGACGGCGACGGCCAAGTCCGAGACATCTTGCCGCTCTGTGCCGTCCGAGCCCCAGCCCTAACTTACTCGCAAACGTTCGAAAAACACCTGTCTGCATTGATGTAAGTTATCGTAGATCCCCCGCGGGGATCCAGGCCATCTGCGAGTAGCTACTTTACGAGTCGTGGAACGCGCTCGTCGATTCTAGGCCTCCTAGATGGGGTCGGAGTAGATGGGGTCGGAGGATCGCGCCGCATCGCCGAGACATCGCCGATACGGCTCGATGTGCAGCCCGCTTTGCTTCACGTCAACGTCGCCGATGCATCGCCGAAGCCGACGATGCATCGCCGGTGTATCGCCGATGCGTCGCCGATGCATCGCCGATGTATCGGCGATGCGGCGCGATCCTCCGACCCATCTACTCCGACCCCACCTAGGAGATCTCTAGTCATACATGCGTTTTCCGTCTTGCGCGTGGAGCTCCGTGCCAGTACGCCACGTGTGGCGTGTTGCGTATCGGGGCGCAGCTAGGCTCAGGTCCTGTGCGAGTCTTCGGGCCGCGGAGCCCCGGTCTTTCAGAACCTCGTCTTGGGCGAGTTCCAGGCGGGGTCGTGGGTTTCGGTGGAAGGTCTCAGGAGACCCACCGCTTGTAGGACACAGAGGACACAGAGGCAGGGGAAGTTCAAGGAAGACACTGGATGGTGGCAAATGGCGCCACCAGGTATTAAGGCCAGAGTTGTGGAGGTACGTTGGCACTTCTCCCTGCGGCCGTCGTCGTTGGCCGAGGGAAAGCGGGAGGGGGGGGCGGGGGGGAAGGGCGGGCGAGGAGGAGGCGAGGGGGAGGCGAGGGGGACGCAGCGTTCGGGCCGCAGGACGCCGCGGCGCTGGGCCAGTGCCTGCTGGATGCCCAGGCGGCGGAGGGGCTGCCGGAGGAGGCATCGGAGGGCTTCCACGCGGCCCTCTCGGAGGCCCTGGCGGCGTACTCCGAGCGGCGCGCGGAGGAGGGCTGGGCGCTGCTGGACCTCATCGAGCTGCAGGCCGCCAACGAGCTGCGCGCGGGCGCGCTGCTGCAGGGGCCTGTGGTGATGGGGTTCCTCATCGAGCAGGTCGCCCGTGGGTCCCTGAAACCCCTGGCCGAGCTGGGGTCGCGCATGCTCGGCGCGCGGCTGCAGAAGAACGAGAGCTTCATCAGCAGCGAGCTCGACGCGGTGCCCCTGCTGGGCCTCCTGCACGAGCGGGTGGCGCTGGGCACCTGGAAGCGGTTCTTTGACGGCGTGGCGAGGCTCAAGCCCGACATGCAGACCGCGCTGATGGCCACGGACGAGCCGTACAGCGAGCTGGTGAACCGCAACACGGCGTGGCTGGAGCTGCTGCAGGTCTCGAGGGATTCCTTCGGGGCGCAGCAGGTGCAGGTCGTCCGCGGCATCGAGGTTCTGAGGCCGGAGGGCGCCAGCGGTACACCTGCACCGATCTTGGTCAGGCCGCTCCCGGGGCCCAGGTTCGGTGTGAACATACACATGTTTTTATATATACACGTACACTGAGATAATGCAATGGGTGGCACTATCATACAATACAAGACGATATGCTACAGCACAGCATTACAGAACGTAATGTATTATAGCACACTGCACTGCTATACAACTGACGGTTATATCCTATATCAAAGCATACCAGAGTATGATGTAATGCAGTATGATATGGCACAACATAACATTATACAACAGTATTGTACGTTGCACTATATTACGTCAGAATACTAAACAATAGTGCACAGCAGCATAACATGCATCAGCACATCATGCTACAATGCATTATGCAATACCATATTGTGTTACCCTATCAAGCAAGACAACATACCATAGTAGGATAGTATGTAGCGAACTTGGATATATGTATATTACACACATATATATAAACAACTATACGTGTGTACGTATGCCGTGCCGTATCATCGCATATGACAAGAACTCATCGTGCAGCAGATGACATATCAGGTAATATGGCAAATAAAGGTTTCGACAGTGCGTATGCAAACATCTATACAAACGTATACTATAATGCAACTACTAGTGCACCTTATGGCTATGTTTAACATAGCACTGTCGATTAGAACAGTATGTATTGTATACTGCTATGCTTTCAGGTGGTAAAGTATTTTGACATTTGATATTCGGCAATGTACCATTATTCGAGATAGGATAACAACATACAGGACACTATAAACTAATATTGTGTCATACCATCTCGTATCATATATTACGAGATGCAACGACATTACACTACATCGTATTATTATAGACGAGAGTGATACAGACACCTCTCTATATAGATGCATGCTTGCGTGTGTGTATGTATATATATATATATATATATGTTGCTGTATATACATGCGTACATTGATGTATACATATCAATACGCCTGCCTGGTCCGGCCAAAGCCAGGAAAGCGCATCTGCACCGATCCTGGGCTGAGGACGGACCTGGCCAGGACCGATTGAGGTGTGTACGCTGGGCGCCCTCCTACGAGGGGCCTCCCGGACTCGACGCTGCTCGACTGGGCCGCGGCCTTCACCCCGCAGGAGCGGCTCCAGGGCGACGTCATCGTGCGCCAGGCGGTCTCGGTCAAGAGCTTCTTCGCCATCCGCTCCGGCACCTGCACGGTGCTGAGGGACGGGGCCGAGGTCGCCACGCTCGGCCCGGGCGACCACTACGGGGGCATCGCGCTGCTCCTGGGCGTTCCGAGCTCCACCTCGCTGGTGGCCTCCACCGACGCCGGCCTTCCTCACCCACCAAGCCACCCCAACCCGACCCGAGGGCCCCAGTGCGCCCTCCGTTCCCCGTGGGGGGTCGTCGGGGAACAGTAAAAAACATACAATTTGGGTCTTCGGGTCAGGTAGCGGTGGTCCGGTGGGGAGTCAGGCCTCCTCGAGATGCCGCGCGAGGTGTTCCTGCGCCTGGTGGAGAGGCAGGGGCCCGAGCTGCGGGCCGCGCTCTCCGCGCCGGCAGACCGCTTCCACCTCGGGCTGGACGGCGTGGCCAGCGAGCAGGAGCGAGAGAGACACGTCGTCGTCGTCGTCGTCGTCGTCGTCGTCGTCGTCGTCGTCGTCGTCGTCGTCGTCGTCGTCGTCGTGGTCGTCGTCGTCGTCGTCGCCGTCCCGGCAGGGAAGGCCAGAGGGGCTTCCTCGGTGGAGCGCGGGCGGGGCAGCAGGAGGATGCGGCGGCAGGAGGAGGAGGAGGGGGAGGTGGAGGAGGAGGAGGAGGACAACAGGAGGAGGAGGAGGAGGAGGAGGAGGGAGAACAGGAGGAGAAGGAGGAGGAATCGGAATCGTAATCGAAGGCATAATCGGAGTCGGAGTCGGAACAGCCGCGCGAAGTATATCAACAAGTGAACGCCATCCCCTGCCGCCTCAACCATCGATGCACACGACGATGCCCGAGAATAGGAGCTGCAATGCACAGGGCGATGGAGTCCAGCAACACGTGCACGACTAACACGACGAAGAAACCCAAGGAACAAGTGTTTGATACTTCGAATCGAATGAATTCCTCCCCACATGAACGCGGCCTCCACGCAGGCAACTAATTCACACCGCTTCGACAACAACAAGTATCTTCTATCCCGCACCAGCCACAAAAGTGCGGTACGACCACACGATACGAGCAACTCCCAATCCACCACGCAGAGCGAAGCGCACGAACAACACCGCGAGTCGAGACGACACAGTTCCGAACCACAACCACACAGCTGCGCCGGCATGCAACCCATGCACCTGAAGTGACGAAGTAGACTGGGCACCACCCTGGTACTATGCACGGTGATTTCGGACATGCGAAAACCAATTGGCCAAACAATTTTGAATGTTAGGGTACGCTGCGACTGCCCGCTCTCACCAGGCGAGATTATCCTAGCAGTGCAGCAGCAGTAGCAGCAGCACAACAACAACACAAGAAACCAATCGAATCGTATGCCATGCCGTCCTTGGCGGTGAACCACTTGGGCGAGCCCCTGGCCGTCCGACCACCAAAGAGGGCTGTATACCCACCAACAAATCCCATTATGTGAACAGGCTCAGGCCAGCATGGTACACTGCACAAGACATGCGTTCAAACGTAAGCCTTTCACCTCCTCGCGGTGAGCCACGAGGGCGAATCTCTAGCTCTCCGCCCGCAAGGGGGGGGCGACGTACAAACTGGCAGGTCCTAGTTTGTGCACTTACTACGAGCAACCCATTCTGAACTCACACCACCATATACTGACGCGCCGTGCCGGTATCCTCCAAGCTGTCCTGCCTCTGGCCAAGGCCCAGTCACCTACCAATCCTGGATGTCCAATCGCAGGAGGCATCACCTATGTCACCTCGCTTAGATTCAGCCACCACGATCGACAGTGCACGGGCATTGCAGGCGAGTTGGCACTCGAGGACTCTCCTCTGATCCGTCCCTCTCCAGTCCCCCCCCCTCCGTTTACTTGTTCTCCTCCTCCTCCTGCTTTTCCTCCTCCTCCCCCTCCTCCTCCTGGTTCTTCTCCTCCTCCTCCTCCTCCTGGTTCTTCTCCTCCTCCCCCTCCTCCTCCTGGTTCTCCTCCTCCTCCTCCTCCTCCTCCTTCCAGGCTTCGTTCACTCCTCCTCCTCCTCCTCCTCCTCCTCCTCCACCTACCCTTCTCCTCCTCCTCCTCCTCCTCCTCCTCCTCCTCCTCCTCCTCCTCCTCCTCCTCCTCGTGCCCAGCGTGAAGGCATCGAGGTGCGACTCGGGGCCAAGGGATACGCTGGAGTGCATGCGGGAGCCTGGGCCACATGTGCTCGAGCCCCGCCGCAGGAGCGGGGAGCCCCCCGCCGAGGGCGGCGCCGCGCAGGAGGAGAAGGAGGAGGAAAGGAGGAGAGGAGGAGAGGAGGAGAG